GATATCCAACCTGGACCTCCCCCACTGCAACTTGAGACCATTGCTCCTTGTTCTGTCGTCTGCCACCACTGAGAACAGAATAATTCCAGAAAGTTTCCACAGTTTGAGGATGCTTCTCTCTCATCCTGCCCCCGCAGTGCTATTCCTTTGTTAGCCAGGTAAAGCAGTACATTGGTGATTTTTGAAGCATAGTCTCTGTTTTCATGTAACCCCATCGTGTGAGAATTTGAACTGTGCCACCAGAGAGCCCACTTCTTTTGACTTTTTGAATAAAATGCCACCTTTCAGATCACTGCTTCTATATGGCAGATTGTATATTTTTCTGAAGGTTTTTTCCTATATTTTTCTGGTCTCTTGCTCCATTTTCAGTGAATGCAGAGTCTCTCAAACCACTGGAAAACTGTCTGCAAAGAAAGCAGAAAACGACATCTGCCTGCTGGCTGTAATCGAAAAATAAAAATGTCTTGTAATATAACAATGTAACTGAGAAAGACCGAGACACAACTTGTGTCCCCAGTTCACTTTCTTTCCATCTTTGGACTTTTTGCCACCTAGCCGCCTCTGCTCTTTGGTTGATGTCCGGCTCCTATACCTGGACCAGCTGTGGGACTGCTCATGCTTCAGTGCTTGCTGATGCTGGAACAACTCATCTAAGGGGGCTGGAACCTGGGGGGCCAGGAGGCCAGGGCCCAATTTTAAATGTGGTTCTGTGTTTCACGGATGAGCAGAAGGTGGTAGGCATCTCGGGGAAGGGGGAGTCAGGGTGGAGGAATGGAGGGACTCAGCAAGCAATGGGAAGGGAGGTGGAGGAGAGGAAGGTCTCAGCGAGCAGCAGTCGGAGGTCCATGGGGAAAGGTAGGTGGAGGAGAAGAGGGACTCAACGAATGGTTGGCGGGGGGACAGGAGAGGAGGGACTCAGCAAGCTGTGGGTGTACGGGACACGTAGGAGGAGCATGGACGAGAAGAGGGAGTCAGGACTCAGCTAACATATAAATAAACATATAAATAA